TTTGGCATAAATGTCTGTGTGAAGGATAACTTTGGGATCATGTTCACTCTAATTATTATAGAATTTTAAGATCTTAACAGAAGAGACTTGAGCAGTCACGTGTGGTAGCCTGTGACAGGGCACATCTCTACTGACAGGTGAGCCGGCCTCTGCTCACAGACCTCCATAAGTAGGCACTACTCAGCTCCTCTTTGCCTGTTCTAACGTTATGTGTTCCCATCTTGGGCATAGGAACTAGATTCTGACACAAATAGATTTTGAAAAGTTCCTTCCGAAACTTTTAGAAGCCTTGCTTCAAGATCAATGTGATTTGAGAATCTGGGAAGGAAGTTAGAGGCAGGATGGCAAGCAAGATAGCACAGGATGCTGGCTTATCTAATAGAAGCCAAGTAACTATTGCAGACAGGCAGGGAGTGTTCTCTGATTTGCAAGCTACAGTTATTCTAATTGATTTCTGCATACTTGTGGATAGGGATCTGCCCTCTTCCATTTATTTTTCTCTCAACAAGTAAGATGTGAAATGTTGCTCCATGCCTTTCTAATTTAACTGTTGCACATGTTGAGAACCGATCTTGCCAGCCATTTTAAGCCTGGCCAGAAACCTAACACATTGTTGTTATTAGCCTTCATTATTTGGTTAGAGCCAACATTTTGTTTGGAACTATGCTGCAGTATAAATCTCCTTTATAGACATAACCTATTTCTGCCATAAAGTAGATGCGATGAGAAGGCAGCTGAGTTTCCTTGGTGAGTTGCTCTAGTTAGTCTCAAGAGGCTGCTGAGGCCAGGGGATGCTCATTTTGAGAGAGTTCTTGGGAAATGAGATTCATATTCTTGAGGACTTACAACTGAGCTGAGGAGAAGGACCCGTGGATAGCTAATCTGAGGTGGTGTGTGAAAAGTACACATATACAAAGGTCAGAGGGAGCTTAGGGGAGAAACAGAGCATTACCTCACGGCTCACATTGGGTGGCTGTGGACGACGTCCTTGAAGCCATATGTACCGCGTTCAGTCTGCAGGCTGAGTAAACCATCTGTCTCACACACATGTGCACTATTGCTTTCCAAATATTATGTAGATGCCCTGGTGGCCTACAATACTTTTGAACGAATTCTTGTATCATTACTATTTATTGTATAACTATTTGCCATACTGTGTATTTTTGATCAATAGATTCTACACTTACAGTTTCTGTCATGGGCATCTGTGAAATTTTTTCATGTTAAAAATTGTCTCCGTTACTTCAGGATTAGAAACTTCCATTGTCTGAAGCAGTGCTGTCCACTAGGACCTTCTGTGATCATAGAAATGTCTCTGCATTGTCCAGTAGGGTAGTCATTAACTCCATACAGCACTCGAGGACTTGAAATATGTCTAGTGGGACCGAGGAACTGAATTTTTAATTTTATTTGATTTTAATTGATTTAAGTTTAAATAGACGCACATTAAATAGAGGCTACCATATTGGACAACACAGATCTAACATATCCCTTTGTAGATAATTTTCTAAAAATCCTCCCTCTTTCCCCAAGTTTCCTCTGCCATGCCCCTTCCTAGTTTGTTTAGACTTCTACCCACATGTGGGTGGTTGCCAGGCCCACTTCTTCTCAGGTGCTCCGATTCCTGAACGTTCCTTAGCCCAAGAGAAGAGTTCTTTCACAGATGTGACTTTGAAAGCCTTTCCTAAATCACAGAAATGAAAAGGAACGGTGTGCTCGCTTCGGCAGCACATATACTAAAATTGGAATGATACAGAGAAGATTAGCATGGCCCCTGCACAAGGATGAAATGCAAATTCGTGGACCATTCCATATTTTTGAGGATGTGAAGAAAAGGGGACTCTCTTGCACTGTTGGTGGGAATGTAAATGGATACAGCCACTATGGAGAACAGTATGGAGGTTCCTTAAAAAACTAAAAATAGAACTACCATATGACCCAGCAATCCCACTCCTGGACATATACCCTGAGAAAACCATAATTTGAAAAGGGTCATGTACCACAATGTTCATTGCAGCTCTATTTACAATAGCCAGGACATGGAAGCAACCTAAGTGTCCATCGGCAGATGAATGGATAAAGAAGATGTGGCACATGTATACAATGGAATAGTACTTAGCCATAAAAAGGAACGAAATTGAGTTATTTGAAATGAGGTGGATGGACCTAGAGTCTGTCATACAGAGTGGAGTAAGTCAGAAAGAGAAAAACAAATACTGTATGCTAACACATATATATGGAATCTAAGAAAAACGGTACTGATGAACCTAGTGGCAGGGCAGGAAAGGTGAAGAGAACGGGCTTGAGGACACAGTGGGGGAAGGGGAAGCTAGGACAAAGTGAGAGAGTGGCATTGACATATATACACTACCAAATGTAAAATAGATAGCTAGTGGGAAGCAGCCACACAGCACAGGGAGATCAGCTCGGTGCATTGTGACCACCTAGAGGGGCGGGATAGGGAGGGTGGGAGGGAGACGCAAGAGGGCGGGGATATGGGGATTATGTATACATATAGCTGATTCACTTTGTTGTATAGCAGAAACTAACACAATATTGTAAAGCAATTATACTCCAATAAAGATATATATAAAAAAAGTTGACTATTTGGTAGGCTATAAATGATTATTAGAAACTCAGAAGTCAAAATCTTATTCTAGGGCACTCATTAAGCAAGAAATTTTCCCTTTCCTTTGTTCTCCTGATGATTATTTAAAAAAATTAATAGAGTTCATAGCACTTTACAAGTTATGACTCTTGGGGCCGTCTAAAATCATCATGGGCAGTAGCAGAAGCCATGACATAATGGCTTCTATTAAGGTAAAATCACGAGACGATATATCTCTGAACATAAAATTCTCCTTTATATTTATATATTTATTATATCAATAGATACAGTGCTAGTTGGATTACTAGGTAATTCAAAATCGTTATTTTTCCCAAAAGATTTTTGTCGTTCACTGTTTTAAAACAAGATGAAGGAAGAAGGCAGTAACACGTAGAATTCAAAAAAGCACATGAACTCGTGCTTGAGGACCTCCCATCAAAATAATGAACACCAGGGCTTCCCTGGCGGCACAGTGGTTGAGAGTCCGCC